AAATTCTCGCAAGAACCAGACAGAAGATCTGCACACTGTATTAAAAGTTCCCAGTAGTTTTAATTGAGGCCTGATGCCTGCCTGATGAAGATCTCTGTTAGATCGAAACGTCTTAAAATTGAATTAAAACTGCTGGGAGCTTTTCGTCCAGTGTGCAGAGCCTCTGTCTGACTCTTGCTTTAGTTTGACCTTTTGATCCAGCACCTGTAAAAGTTTTTTTCGGATGTGCGTGCCCTCCACCCTGCTTGTTCCTAAATTTTTGCAATTAGTATCACTGTTTTAACTTGTGTAATATAAAGTACATCATCCATGGTTCTGACGATGCCTCTCGTAAATATGAGCCCCACCTCTTTTACATGAATGCGCTCGTGGCTGGATATAAAAACCCAAGAGTTGACTGAGCTAGTTGATAACCAGCTTCATGTTAGTGGTTATCCAAACAGCCAATGTTAGGTTTAGTGAATTCAGATAACAGAAAGATATCCTGGCTAACTTGCCTCATAGTACAGGCCTCTGGTGTTATCAGAACGATGTTGTGGGGGATGCTCCTTTGCAGCAGGCTCTGTGAGGTTTGTATGCAGGGAAATTCTAGCAAAATCCCGGAGGAAAAGTTGCTGCAGTCTCTAAGAGAACTCTGATTTGGGCGAGGATTTATTTTCTAGAAAGACAACAACTCCAAACAAAGCCACACAGGAGCGTCTTCAAAACAACAACATTAACGTCCTGCAATGGCCAAGTCAGAGTCATGACCTCAGTCCAAATAAGAATTTGTGGCAGGACTTGAACATTGCGGCTCCCTCACCAGTCCCCATGAAACTTGACAGAGCTTTTGCCATTTTACAAAGAAGAATGGGGACACGCTGCATTGTCTAGATGGCAAAGTTGATACAGACCTATTTACACACACTCAAGGCTGTACCTGCTGCTGAAGGTGCCTCTCTTTTAGTGTAGCTAGTTTACATAGAGATGTAGAAATTTGATTACAGTTGGACATCAGTGTTTTGTCTTTGGATTAATATCAACAATTCAAACACCATTGTGATTCAGTATAGTAAAGCAATGGAATGTGAAAAAGTCAGAGGTTGAATGCTTACAATATGCATTGTTTTGTGAGCAAATACCTTTGTATCTCCTGAGAGATATCAGTGTTTTGAGAGGCTTAAGAAGCAGATGAATACAGTGTTTGTGAGGATTTCCCGACTGTAGGTTTCTTCTGTTTGCTTCCCTCTTGTGCAGAGTAAAATGTCCACTCTAGGAAAAAAAAATATCATCAATCATCATACATTAAGGACACACACACATACACAAGCAAAAGTGAAATCCAACCAAAGTGTAGTCAAAGAACGATCTTACTAGAAACTCTTGAGGGAGCCAGTTTACACCACAGAACAGTTGGGCTCATTGATGCCGTGAATAGAACAGTCTCCAGCGGCCTAATTCACTGCTGCTTTAAACAGCAATGCTAAGTGGTTCAGAGTTTGCCTGGAGAATGGTGCTGATAAAAATGTCTCCTGGCTCTGCCGCAAAGAAGTAAATACAAAGCTTCCACACAGACACTTGGCAATTTGAGAGCCTAGATTTAAAAGAAATGAATCAGCATTTAAGTTCATCGTGAACAAAAGGGGGAGACTTTAATCCATTTGCCACTGTTCTCACAAGGACTGTTTTTTTTCCTTCTGTTTTAATGGAAGAATATAATAATCGTCTTTAGATTTCATTAAACGTTTTCACTAATGCTTCAATTTGTTCTTTCTAATCGTTCATCTTTCGTAGCTCCCACCGCTCTTCGATGGCTGTTTCTTCTTCCTGCTCGGCTCCTTTAAGGCGCCTCCCAGAGACGAGCTCACCAAGCTGCTCCGGGAAGGAGGAGGTCAACTCCTGACCCGGCAGCCCAAGCCCGACAGCGATGTGACGCAGACCCTGAGTGCCGCCGCCTACCATGCGCTGCCAGGCTCTGACCAGGCCCTCTGCACGCAGTACATCATCTTTGACCCCCAGGGAGCTCACAAGCCAGCAGTAGTGAGGCGAGGTAAGGTGTGGCGGGCTCCTTCTACCTGGCTTATCGACTGCATCACAGCCTTCCGCCTCCTCCCCGTGCCGGACCCTCAAACATCAGTCTAAACAAGCTTTTCATAAAATCAATAATCATTTTGAGATCTCATTTGTCCTTGAGTATGGTCATCATGTGTTTGTTTGTTTGTTTCAATACACAGTAATTAAGTCCACATGAGTCTTATTAACAATAATGAAACACTGTGACTCTTTAAATCTGAAATTAAAGTGCTAATCTGCACGGTTTGTTGTTTCTTTATTTATATGCAGTGTGATAATGTTTCTCACATGGTGGGTTCTCAAGGTGCTCCTCACTGCTCGGCGCCCCTAGAAAACCTCCACAGGGAGGCGTCCAGGAGGAATCCTTATCAGATGCCACGAACCACCTTAACTGATGAGGTGAGGGAGCAGCAACTTTACTCTGAGCTCCATCCAGTTACCCAGCCTCCTCTCTCTATTTCTTCACAGCCACACTGTGAAGGAAACTAATTCTAGCTGCTTTTATCCTTGATCTGATTGTTTCGGTCATTATCCAAAGCTGCTGGCCAAAGGTAAGGGTTGCAAAGCAGATCTACTGGGAAATTGCTCCCTTTTCACCACAGAACTCCAGTACAATGCTTGCATCACGGCCGGCCTTTGGTCAGTCCCACTCTTAAAAGACAAATTAATGCAGTTTTATCTGTCGCACATATCTCTAGTTAATTTGGCATTTTGTTTGTGTCGCGTGTGTCACACTCAGATCAGTTTCTAATGTGTGGTTTTAGAGTGGAAATACATTCCATAATCTGCATAAGTTTACCTGGAAGAGATAATTATCTAATTATCTAATTGAGAATGCCTGTTTGAAACAAATGGAGAGAGTGGGTCCCTGAAAAAGATCGATGGAGATTCAATACAAAGTGTAGCATAGGAATAACAAAGCAATTAATTGTTCCGTCACAGCACTGGCACTTTCTGTGTCCACCTTTTGTGTACACAGGCTCTGTGTGTGTGTGTGTGTGTGTGTGTGTGTGTGTACGTTCCCCCGCCATCAACACTGGCCTGAAGGTATGTGTGCTTTAAGACGTCTTCTACAGGCCATCTCCCAAGATGCCATTTTCAATGGGATTAGTCAGGGATGCACCTAATTGCTATTGATTGCTATGTGCTGCATAAAATTGCTTCCCTTTTCTTGTCCACGGCGGGAGGTGGGAGAAGGCAATTAGTAGTACGGACGAGATAGAAGCACAGACTGACTTGTAATGAAATAGAATGGAGGAATGAACCTGTGAGTAATGCCCTTGAACTCGCTGAGCATTACAAAACCATTAAGCACTGGTATCTTCTTATTTTCTCTTGCACACAGCCCCAGGAAAATACTGTACTTTTTTTTATTCTGAAGGGTTCTGCTTATAGAAAGCTCACAGTTGCACAAAACAGATGAGATATTCCTCAAATCAGAGGTAAGATATTTCTCAAATCAGAGGTAAGGTTTCCTTAAAATAAAACCGGTTGCCCAAAACACTAATCTTTCTCGAGGTTTCCTTAAAATGTTCACTTGAGTATTAAGCATTTTCTGCTTGGTTGCTTTTGTACTTAAGGCATTTCTACAGTAAGTTAATCATTGCACAAAAGACCTTAGCAACTAAAGTAATGGAAAAAAAAAACTTAAGGTACCCCTGACTCTGTCTTAAACACAACATGGCCAAGTTTATGCCATTGTTTTGTATTTGCTGTTATTTGTAAATTAAAAATTGAGCATAGCATTAGTTCAGGCAGGACACAATGTCAAGCTCAGCTCACGTCCCAGCTACATTAGCTGATCTCAAACAGCCCAATCAACTGATGGAGCAGCTGATTGATGGAAGGAAGTCAGCTGATAGATCACATGATTCCTTTCTATGCAACCAACTCTCACTCAGGGCGCCCTATTTAAACTGCTCTGGCCTGCCTACTGTTGCTGCTTCCTCTGCAAGCCGCCTTGCAACCTGCCTCCACCCCAGCTCCTCCTTTTCATGCTGTGTCTGACTTATCAGTGTCATTTCAGTTTGTCATTGATGCTGCTCTGTTCTGTTACCGGGGGCCTTTACTGCTGCTCTCCCTGCCTTTCCATGTAGGCGCATGGAAGGGCAGGGCGGTTTGCTCTTTCAGCCTCAGGCTGGTTTTGTTTGCACGTGGAAGGGCAGACAGGTGTGCTCTCTCCGCCTTATGCTTTCCATGTAGGCGCTTGGAAGAGGCTTTCTCCGTAGGCCTAGGAAAGGCACAGAGGCCCCAGGACAGAGCCATACCACCAAATATAATACTGCAAATGGAAATAAAGTTTTCTTTGACTTCAGTCTTTGTAACGGTATTACATTTAGTATGCTTCCTTTTATAGCATTTCTCCAGAAATAAATTTTCCTCCTCTGACTCTCTTTTCTTTTCTGTTTAACTAAATATAGGAGAACTTTTTGAGATGATAACAAGTATCACAAGTGTGAGTGCAAGCAAACAGTCTCCATGGGAACTGTTTTATTGCTGTAAAATCTCTTTCGATGCAGTAAATGCATTCATTTTTTCATAACAAAGGAAATCTCTTTAAGGAATTCTATGCAACACCCTTATGTAAGTCCTTCAGCCAAGGAGAAATTAAGGTGTTTTGTGCAACTGGCCATGTCTTGGTTCAGCTGATTTTAATTATTGGTTGTTTTTTGTGTGGTTTGAGGACTTGGAAAAAGGCTAAACTCAAGGATATTTGCCCAGCAGCATACTCTAGGGTGCAACTGAATTTGACCGCACAGGCTGTGCTCCCCATACAGTTACATTCAGATGCCAAGAAATGCTGTGCTTTTCACAGTAATGAATTTCACATTTTTCAGTAGATGTTAATGGTGTTTTCATGCCACTGAAAGTAATTACGTCCGCAAGCATCAGTGTAATTCTGAGTGTACCGAAAGAAAGAACATTAGAAAAAGAAATCCACACTCACATTTGCCGAATAACACTTTTCAAGTCTATTTAACAAAATAGTTTTTGTCTGGATGAATAATACACATTTCCTCATTTCTTATGTCTTTTTTTTGTTGTGTTTTACTCCACCTCAGATTTCAGAATACACATTATACGTTTGAAGATATTTACATATGAACAACATGGGGAACACCAAGGGCTGTTTAATTCTTAAAAATGTGGACCTTTTATCTCTTGTACAGCGTAGGGTGAACCTGTGCGAGCATGTGTTCATATACAATCAAAGATGCTCTTAATTTTAAACAAATTTCAAATTTGTTATAGAAATGACACCCTCCTACTTTGGAGCCACGCATGAACAGACCCTTGGTGCCCCAAAAACTAATACAATTGATTGTATAATAACAGTGTTTCTCTCTTCATATTCCAGATAGTACTCTGTTGGTTTTCAGGCACACTTTATGTAACAGTTTTGTTGCTGAAAAAAAAAAGTGACAAAAAGGAAAGATCTTCCATAGTTTCCAGCTACAGTAAATCGGTGTCTCATGGAAAGAGCGAATGGTATACCTTTACAAAATGCCCATGTACAAGCCTGCGGTCTGAATGATCGGAGGACAGATGGAGGTAATCTGAATAGACATTTAGAGACAGACGTAAAGACTCAAGTTTCTTGGCAGAAAATGAACAAAGACAGACTGTGCTGCTGGCCTGTCCTTGAAACTGTGCAGCTTCACGTATTTGCAAGGAGAAATGTAATTTCCCCCCGGTTCACCCAGGCGGAGGCTCTCTGTGAAATGCCTTTTTTTTTTTATTGTGTTTTTAAACACAGCCCATTCTTTCAAACGACACACATAGGAAACTACTATATGTTAATCCATGTGGAGCCTAATTCATCCGGTTTAGTTGTCAATGACAAATATAAAAGTAATTTTCAAGCAGTCAACCCACTTACAGTGGAGAGCAACATGTGCACCAGTACAGTCTGTCTGTTTGCCTATATCTCCCTTACTGGGGTGAAGAACAATTCCTCCAGTTTTCTTTGACTGTACTCGCTGCTTTGAATATATAATTTGCTTGTTTAATTTTATGTCTCTTTTTTGCTTCCCACCAGCAGCCTAGATCACAACTCAGCTCCTTACTGTATGTATGCAGGGACAATTGAGCATGATCTTGGCAGGGCTCAACAATAAGAATTGCCCTGGACGAGGAAAATGCCACACTAGGCCAGTAAATTAGCAACTCACTTGCCCAAACAGGCACGTTGTAAAAAAAAAAAGAATTAAGTAGCAAACGAAAAGAATTATGTAGCACATTTCCTAGCCTTCTCATGTCTGCTGAAAGCTGCAAATGCCCCATATTAATTGGGCACTCACAACAAAAATGGCGGCAAGTAAAGACAAGTTTTATGAGTGAAGCACAAGCACACATTTCGATTATCTTGGACAAAGGAGTTAAAATTCTGATTCATTTCCTTAAATAAAGATTAAACATGGCACTTTTAATCTGTTGTTATTTGATAACTGCTAATAAATACAACAATTTGTTTAAGGGTGAATATAAATTGACTTTGGGCAAGTAGAATTCTGACCCATTTGCCTGACCTGGCAAGAGAAAAAACTGGTTGGTCTGGATGGTTTGACTCTACGTCACCCTCTGCACTCCTACCTTCACTCTTAGCAGCAGCTTGTAGCATGCAAATTAAGGAGACGAGCAGCCATGGCACCCCAGTTTAGTATAACAAATGCAGTGCACCTCGGAGGCGTGGAAGGAAACTGAATCAGAACAACCAAACACGAAAATGAGTTGCAATGTCACATTGTCATTTGGATCAAATTGCCTTGATACTTCTCCCTCTGCCATTTTTGCTGCTTCTCCTCTTACTCCTATAAAAAAAACCAGTGTATTTCTAGATGTGTGAATTCAATCCTGCATTTTTAGCCGTGACTGAACTCTCCGTGTCCTTGCTTGCCTTTGTACCACTAATTCACCCCAGTTTTTAGAGGAATGTCAAAGGGTAAAATAATAACTAGTTCTGGGTAATCCATAATGTTAAACCATTGCGCTGAGGAGTGCAAAGAAAGTAGCACTTAACGCAGACTTGGCTGTTCATACTGTGTGAAGCCAAAGGCCATGCTTTGTGGATCTTATCTGGAACAGTAGCAATAAGGCATCTGTGGCGGCAGCAATGCCTCTGAGCCCTGGCACACTCACTTCAGTCTTTGCTACCCAGTAAAGTAATTCCAATATATTTTTGGATACATGTGCAGCCTGAATAATTATTTGGCATCTGAAGTAATTAAGATGAATGAAGCTCTTTTATTAATCCTAAAATGTCTGGAGCACGGAGGCTGTGATTGATAAACCGTAGATGTCAGTTTTGTTTTATGAGTCTGCGGACCTCAAGCCAGATAGATGAGGACTGTCTTTTCACACTGAGAGACACTAAATCACTGTAGCTTAATGATGAAAATGACCCCGGCTCCATTGTTGCACCTAGGATTGAACCCCACCCACTCTCTTTCAGTTTTGTAATTCCTCCATCAACCATGTGCTGCAGCTTTGGAATATACTGCGCACTATGAGATCCTTCCAAAAATTAGTTTTAGTGCCTTTTACGGTAATATACCTCTTTAGTCATTGGTCTTTATCCTATATTCATTTCTGTCTCATTACAGAGTGCTGGGAGCTGCTATTAAGCAGCCCATCCATCACCACCCAGGAATAGGGTCTAAAAGGTTAACAGGAACGGATTTTCTGGAAATGGAAAAAATTCCGGTGATGAATGGCACAAGCTTACTGGAATTCACCTTTGAATTAATGACTGGTATTTATCATCTCAAAAATATCGTGTTTTGGGCCCTGTTTGGGTGCTTTTTCTTTCAGACTGGACCACTTGAGGACCACTCTGCTCTGGGAAAATATCAAGGCAATACATTAGCTTGTCTCTATGTTATAGCCCTGACTATACAGCCGCACCACATCCAAAGAGCTGCTCTAAACATATCAGGGAGGGGACGAGCTGAAAATCTATTACATAATCTATAACAGTGGGATAATGTGACAGCTTTGTATCTTAACAAGCCTTAAGGTTTAAGTGCTTCACTGGGTGCCGATCAACATCCTGAGGCTGTGAGATTGTGGATGAATGGGGTGCTTGTGTATGCTCACATGGACAATGTGCACGTGAATGCTGCTTAAAAGCATTCAGACATATGCAGAATTCCTCCCTTTGTCTGCTGGTTCTCGTGGCGTGTGCCCAGCATGCAGGCTGTGGCAGCGCCAAGCACCCAGCTGGATGATTTATCACAGAATACTCCTTGATTAAGGGAAATTAAAGCAGGCTGCTCTTGGCTCGCTAATTGCTTTGATAACAAGTTCAAGCAGTTAGTTAGCGGGAATATTTCGGAGGATATGGACCTCTGAGAGAAAACAATAACGACAATTAAGCCGGAAGAGGCTGCCCAAAGTTGTTGTTTTGATTCAGTGTTGCAGAATTTTACATCTACCCCTCTCATAGCTGCTTGCTGCCACTGTTCCTGCCTTTCCTCTCTCTACAGCACCAGCTTCCCCTGCCTGTGCTGCTACTATACAGAAACATGACTCAGCCATGGTGTGTTGATCAATAAAATCAGCGTTTTGGCATTTTATAGCAGTTTATAAAATTGACAGTAGCATCATCTAAGTGTTAGAGGTGAGTTCCTGCCATAGCGATAAAAAGTCTTAAAGTCTTATGAAGACACAAACATTTATGTGTGATGTGCATCTTGTAAACAAGCTCTTAGAGTGAAGTCGTGAAACTCGAGCACACCTCTGCAGTGCTTTCACCGTCATCAATCCTCGTATGACAGAAAGAAAAAGTGCCGTTAAGTGTGCTTACGGTTTGTTTTTCCTGCTGTTGGAATATTACAACACCTGCGTGATTGTGACAGACGAGTACAACAAGCAGATGGCATACATACAGAAATCAACATGAGCAATTCAACATTGCTAATGGTTAGGAAAGAGTTCAAGGAGCTTAGAAACTTTGTGTGTGAGAGCAGCGAGTCAAGCAAGTCAACTTCTGAAAATATATAGGACAATTAAAACTGGAGGGTGGAAACAGCCTTGAGACAAGTTCCATCATCTTCTCGGTGGCTAAATTTGTGTTTGTGTGAAGCTTGTGAGAGCATCTCGTCGATGCTATGCTGTCTCAGGTTGCTTAGGAATTGTGCTCCTGCCCTGTCAATCATACAAAATGGTGCAGTAGGCAGGGCCTTGCCTGAGCTTTTCCACCATCCCCAGTGGAGTCTCTCTATGACAACGTCTGGCCGTTGAGGCACTCCCGCCGCAAGCACTGCGCCGGCTTCCACCAGTCTCCGTTGTGGCAGCGGCAGATGGTGCAGTCGTCCACCTTTACTTCAATTCCGGCTGGGATGATCGTTGTTCCAGCAAAGCAATTTGGACCTGCCGCATGGGAAGGGAGGGAAGGGGGAGAAAGACAGGAAAGAAGGAATGAGAACGACAAGAAATGGATGTGGTTCTCCTGAGGGCTTCTCTTTTCGGAGGGGTGGTGGAGTGATGCAGAGAGCTGCAGGGAGTTAGGGGAGTCAGAGCAGACGTACAGATCTTTTCACGGGCATGCACCGATGGGCTTGTTTTTGCAACACTAAAGCGCTTTTGTTAGTCTCCCCTTCTCCCTCGACATGGAGCGCTTTGCATCCTAATGCGCTGCGAGCAGAGAAGCCTGCCAGGCGCTGGCTTGGCAGTACAGAGAGGCTGGAGTACAGAGAGAGAGAGACAGAGGAAGAGAGAGAAAGCTGCTTTGAGAGGCAGTAGGGAGGATGGTGTTAATCACTTCAGTCTGTATGAAAAGGCCACAGAACTCCTTAGCAATTCCTTACATGGTTTCTCTCCACACACACACACACACACACTCACACACTCTGTACCGACTTCCAAAACAATAAAGAACTTAGATGAAATTTGACGTCTGATTTATCCTTGAAACACTGTAGGATTGTGTGGATCCCTTTTTGTTGATAAAATTCCTTTAATTCTAAAACGTGTTTGATTGTGTACCATTGGAACACCTCATACCCGTGTATTTGATCATCTCGGCAGATAGGCAGATTAAGCCTGGGTACATTCTAGGATCTGTGCTCGAGGAAGCTGAAAACAGTGTTACCTTTGCGGGAATGCGGTGCATTCATTATTGGTAAATACCACATGAAATTATTATGTCTAATTTGTTTCTCTCCATCTCGGGGTGAATCGAGGCGGAGCGCATCTTCCTCTACTTCTTGAGACAGCACAGTCAGAAGGTGCCAGGAATTCTTAAGAGTTTTAATCATGTAGATGAAGCAATCAGCAGCTCAATTGGTGTGACGGTGACTTTGGATTGCTCTGAGCATTCAGGTCTGTAAAACCTGCCGGATTCAAGACTCTACGAGTGGTCATAAAAAACTCATATGTCTCATAACTCTTGGAGACACAGTAGCTTTCACGGCTAATTTTCACGGACGTCTTAGTGTCCCACTGAATTTGATTTAGGACAGGCTAACCTGATGCTAGCAATGTAACTGTGAAACTGTACAGTTAGTTGACCCGAAGAGCCTGGTTACACAGGGTACATTTGGGGACACGGGCCAGCTGCATGCAGATCGGCACAATTACTCAACTTGTGCACAGCAGAGGCCTTTTTTTTACAGAAGACATTTTGACATGTCACAGTAGGAAAGGCACAGGTGTAATTATTGAAATTAATGATAGCTCGACTCCATTTAGCTGCTTTGATTTCAGGGTCCTGGTGTTGTGCATGCTGGCTCACTGTCACACTGTACTTACTGGGACAGATCTGTGTTATTAGTAACACCTGCGCCTTTCTCACTAGTCAAAATAAATGCTGTGAGAAAAGCCTATTGGTTTTTTAATGACAATATCAGGCAACTAGAAGAACACGATTAAGGTTAGGTACAGATCACGGTCTTGGTTAAATATTGAAAGTCACAGTGACTCAAAGCCAAAGACAGGTCACACTGACTTTTTAAATACTTAACCAAGACCATGACTTTTAAAAGCCTAAACACAGCGGTGGGAGAATCATTCAGCAATGTTGTAAAAACACTCCACTACAAGTCCTATATGATGTTTTTTTCAATGAACTGCTGCATTCTTTTTGTGATTTAATCTGTCGCAATGCTTCATATTCTATAGGATCGCCATATGTTTGTAGCGTTGCTGTCCTGTGGGAACCACGCATCTCTGAAAAAGTCCACTTTTCCTGAACTCAGAAAAACAAGCGTTTTCCAACTGATCCAAGGGGGGTTGTTAATAGTTTATTTAGCTTAAAGGAGCTCTATACAAAATTCAGAGTGTATCTATGATTCAGAGGTTGTCTGCACGCCACATGGCTCTCAACAAGGAGGTGGCTAAGCTGGCGGCAAGCAGCTGATGGTGCTAACAGCGTAAACAATGCTAACAACAGCAACAGTGCTTACAGAGCTAACGGCAGTGTTGGGCAGTAGCGTCACTAAATGTAGCGGCATTACGAATTTAACGGCACTTCTCAGTAGCGTGGTGGTAACATCACTACTTTCTGAGTCAAATAGCTTTTTTTTTTTAACTAGTATCGCAGTTGTGTCCACAAAAGTCAAAAGCACTTTTTCCCAGGAAAAGCTCTGAAGTGTATTTTTTCCTGCAGAGGTCTAGCTAAAAGTAAGGATAATAACACTGAGGGTTAAGTGATGTGACCAGCGCTACACCGAGGCACGTTGACGAGGGAAGCACTTCCGTATGACATCACTTACTAATCCTCAAGGTTATTCTGCTTGTTGCTTTGCTATTGCGTTTTCTTTGGAAGACCCGCCCTACTCTGCCTCTGATTGGCTACATTGCACTGTGTATATATTTAGTGGATTTGCAGTGGACACTAGAGAAATAGATTAAGTAGTTCCTAGTTGGAGTATTAAGTAGGAAGATAGGGGACAGAGAGTGACTTACTGATGTCACCTGTTATTTGCAGGATATGTTCATGTTCTAATGTCCCCAAAAAAGAAAAGTTTTAATTTAGGTCATTTATTTTTCTTGTTTATTATACTGTCTTTTATTTATCATGGCGTTATTGACTGAAAAATATATTTTGGAGTTATGTTTTTGAATTACTGACAGAGCCAGCCAGCCTACTGAAAGAGGCCAAGACAGAGAAATGTATTGAATAGGAAGAGGAGAGAGAAAGACAGAGTGCAATAGGCCGACTGATGATGTCATGTTATTGGAGGACATGTTCAAATGTCAAAAGGTCTTCAACAAAAAAAAAAAGTAAGTAATTTAAGCCTGTTATTTTATAATAAACAGTTTAAGTGAACATTTTTTCCCTTCCTATTTGTTTGGCTGACACCTTTGTCTTATCACTGTGGTAACGCTGATTTGACATGCAGGCTACTTTTGCCATTTTCTGGTAGCTTAGCTTGCTACATTTATATGAGGGTAGCTTAAATGTATGGAACTTCATTTTGATGTAGAGTAATTGTTAGCTTAGTTTACTACATTTTCCAAGTAGCTTGCCCAACACTGGCTAACAGTGTTAACCGGGCAGGTGGGTGCTACATTTCTGCAGCAACACTGTACCAATATCAGCGGTAAGTGCTGTATGAGGGCAATGCAGCGTTGAGGTGATTAGCTAGCCAGTGGGAAACCAACATGGGACTCACATGCACTAACATGCACGTGTGACCGAACCATCTACCGCGACATAGAACAGAGAAGTTTGTATTACAGCATACTCAGAGGTAAAGTGACCTCATTCTCTCCTCAGGACATCATTACTTCACTATATCTTTACATAGAGAATAGTTGTTTGCTGCTATATTAATGCTCACAATATTGTATAGAGCTCTTTAAAGAAGTAAGATAAATTTCTCAAACCCTAAAGGAACACTTAATCACTCAGTTCATCAGAAAAATTCAAAATAAAAATGGTTTCATTAGAAAAGAAGGGTAAGAAAAATGTCACCAGAAAAGTAAGCTGTTGGACAAATGTAGTGCAGTAAAAACATACAGTATTTGCATCTGAGATGTAGTGGAGCAGAAGTACAAAGTTCCATAGAATGGTAATACTTTAGTACAGTTACCCTGAACTTGTATTTAAGTACTACTTCAACTTAAAGGAAAGGGACAACCAGCCTATTTGAAGAACAATTAATCACCTAACAGGTAAATACAGAAGCATTACATTATTAAACAGCATTGTTGCTTAACTTAAAATGTTAACTGTACTGGTATTAGTCTATGCACATTCATTTTTAACATTAAGTAAAATACAAAAAGCTAAATCTATCAGTATGTGATTCACTAACTCTCATATTTACACAGTTTCCACTAGACAATGTACCAAAACAGCATACAGAAAATCCTGAAATTCAGTTAGCTTTTGGTTCGGCGTGCCACCCCAAGAATCTCACTGACCTTATCTGACCAACCTTGGAGCTGCCACTGTGCAGGGGGCCATAAACATCCATGTGACACTGACAAAAGGAGGTGTCGGCTACCTAGTATCCCCATCTTTTGCCTCAGCATTGATGAGTCCCATGCTCTATTCGGACCTGATAAAAGCCCTTTGATCTGAGCTTAGAGGAGACATTGAGAACGCTTGCCAAGTCTTAACTCTCATTGATCTGCCTCCGGACAGCTGGCACAGGTTACAGGACAAACTCGGTAGAGGTTGATGAGGGAAGAGGGTGACTGGTTTTGGCTGCCAAGTGTGATTGTTTATAGCTGGATAGACTAGGAGTCACAAGGACAAAGTTTCAGCTACCTGTCACCGCTCGAAGGACACACTGTCACCTGTCTGAGCCTGTGATCGATTCATGGCCAATAAAATTTAGGAAATTCAGAAAATGTTTGTCCTGTGTCAAAACTGTCTCGGCACATCATACTTCCCATCACTGCGGCTTTAAGAGTGAATGCATATCAGTGCTTATTACTGTCTATTTGGCTCAAATTTGATTTTAGCTCTTGCCTAGAGGTTAGAAATTCATTCACACATCCTTCATTTCACAAAAAACCCAGCTTGTCCATAGATTATGTCAGTCTGACTATGTGACTTAACTGTAGCCAGCTCTGTGGCACTGCTACTGTATGATATGTCTGTTAAAAAAAACCCACAATGACAGTCTTCAGACAGATAAGCAGATCTAAAAATGGTTTAATCCTATCATAGTGAGGAAACGCTGGCCATTTTCACACTACTTCTCATTATCATTTTCTTCATGAGAATTATATAATTATGTGTATCCCCTGATAAATTTACAGTATATAATTCTTGATAAAGATTAGAGCTGAATCAGTCAGACTCGATGAACGTGGTTCTCAGAGATAAGAGCTCCCACTGGCTGACTAGTCCATTGTGCTGCCTTCTGCTCTCTGTTGCTGTTTTCAGGGTGAAACACCAAGAAGCAGATGAGCTA